AAGCAGATTAAGCAAAATAAAGGGTGGCTCACATCGATAACTGGAAACAAGGACAGTGTGGTACAAGGTGAGCCAGGGAAAAGAGGAAAAACGAAAGCAGCAGCTTAATATAACCCACACAGCAATGAACGAAGGAGTGAATAAGAGTGGTAGGAAAGACGATGTCTCTTCTACTGCATACTAGCTGCTTAATCAGAAGACCGGCGATCCAAAAGAGACCTCACATTATCCAAATAATCAGGTCGCAATCCTGGAGGAGGCAAATGCAATGAAGCTATTGAAAGGAAGTAGTGAAACAACGGAAATATTGAGCAGACAATTTCAAAGGACACTTATCCAGAAATTCAACCAGCAGACACACAACGTTTCGCAAATACAAATGTTCGACGAAATCAGAAATAATAAATGCCATACAATTGCTGTAGGACGGGGAAGTAGAGAGACCAGATTGAATTCCCTTTACTGAAGAAGAATTAGGGATGGAGGTAGAGATCCAAGCGATTATCTATATTCCGCTACTGAAAAATGTGTGGAAGGAAAGACAGGTACCTGCCAGTTGGAAGTAAAGGCAACTTAATTGTATGCTAGAACCACACTCTTGTTCATCCTAAGTAAAATATTTGGTGACCACTTAAGCAGTGAGAGTTGTTGTGCTGCAATCAGTTTAGGATGAAATCTTTGCAGAAGAGACAGTCAAAACAGACGATATAGCTGTGGATCTCAAAGCAGGAACGGTGTTCACTTCCTTGGAGACAGTGTGCAGTTCGAAAGGAATAGACACTGATTTTGTATGCGTCGTGAATACCATGAAGTTCTTTTTATTCCTTCACGCTCCCAGTGGAACACAGGGCTTCAAGCCAGAGACTTGAAGTTTCTGTGGCAGTCTTATTTATTTTCACGGGATGGGGTTGCTAGCCTCAAGTCCAACCTTCCCTCCTTACCAATCCTACTACTGGTTTTGCGAGGTAAATTAGTGCGTCGACCGGGAATGGAAACTCGGACCATGTGCGTGGTCGTTGATCATTCTACCTTTGTGCCACCGATTTACATACAGTACGAGCCCTCAATGGGAATGTGAATTTCAACCGAAAAGTCGGGTTTCCAGAAATGACAAGGAGGAAGTCATATGGAGGAAAGTGAGGGCTTGAAAGCAGTTTTGCTATCAGCTGAAACTGAAGACAGAGGGCCGAATAAAAGGAGATATGTCTCCGGATCTCTTAGTTCCAATCGAAATGCAAGGCATCTACCAAAAATATGATATTTTGTGGTGTTACTTTTGTGCAGTGATCTTACTAGACTCCTTGACATTACTAGTGATGGTCACATGTGACAGTCTTAAATGCTTAATAGCTAACGAAATTTCAATGTTAGTAATATTCTGATGAGTTTTAATTCAATATTAGTTTATTCAACAATATCCCTTACGTAAGGATAAGGAAAATTGGTGGAAATTTATAAAATTGTCTACCTGTATTTTTTCATTTTACAAAGTGCAGGATTATCAAAAATTGCCAAACACTATCATTTTGTCTTCTGTTAATCATAATGGTCATTTAAGTTTCAGTACTATGGAGAATTACAAGTGGGAACGCCACCACAAACGTTTCGTGTACTCTTCGACACAGGATCAACCGACACCTGGCTTCCATCAAGAAAATGTTGGTTTCTAGATATCTCGTGTTGGTTCATTCGATTTTATGACAGTTCGAAATCATCAACGTATCAGTCAAATGGAACAAAGTTTGAGGTAAAATACATCGTTGGTAGTTACTCTGGATTTTGGAGCATGGATACAATGCAGGTATTGTGGCTTTACGGTTTGAAGTAACACTGGTTTTAGATAAACTCCTTAGTTGTTCGCAGTCAGGCGTTTGCTGAAGTAACAAATGTATTCTCTGATGACTTCTTTGCTAATGAATTCGATGGAATAATTGGTATGTCAAGGAGAAATGTGTCAAGATATGGGAACACCCCATTCTTCCCCAACATACTTTCTCAATCGAAGGATATGGATCCAGTGTTTTCATTCTATTTGAGTCGGTAGGTTCTCAATCTACAGCATGATATCAGTGAAGTTACAATGAGCTATGGATGGATCGGGGAAGATTTACTGATATTCACGAATGTTCGTTTCCACATTGTGTGATAGTTTGTTATTTGGAATACTGAGAAGTAAATACGTTCAAGTAGCTTTAGACCAAGGCGAAGCACAATCTTTTGCTATAAAATTGTTCGTACAATTTCGTGAAATGTTGTTTCAAACTGAATGAATTATTTTGCATGAGCGTTAATAGGGGAAATCTGGTGATGAAGAAAGTACGAAGCACCAACCATAAAAAGGATGTCACACGAAAGGTGAAGCTTTTGGCACAATCTACTCCTCATATTCCTGAGTTCCAGTGGGTGGGTTGATCACATGCAAGATGTTCAAGTGATGATTAATTTTAAGTGATACAAGCATCCAAGGTACTTACTAAATGATATCGTTGTTTAAAATCATATTACTCGACACTACTTTTGAGTAACGAGAGAACGAATACAAACTTTCCGCTCCATGATGTCTAATGGCACTACAAGATTTGAAACAATAACCAGTCGTAGCACTGTGAAAGTTTATCATATCCGAATGTAGAAACAGTAAGCACAAAGACGTGCAGAATCAGAGATTTATGAGTGTTAAAATATGTTGGAGCTAATAGTTAATTCATTCCCTAGTTCCACCACAGTTTGTGTAAGTGTTTCTTACTATCATTCTGAAATGCGCTTTCGAACATCTTTTCACCTAGTGATAAGGATAGCACTTCATAAATGTATACCCAATGACTATTCAGTATGAGCACCGAAAGGAAATGTTGCATGATATTTTGAAGCTACTGCTAGATTACTTTATGAGTAGTGTACCCATGCATTGGAATTTCACGTAAATTTCTACGACACGTTTGTTATGATTACCAATCATTTTCCCACTGATGAAATATGAATTTGAACTCACCTCTAGCCTTGTAATCAACACGCAATTATTATTTCCTGTATTTTGTAGGAAGAATGGTCTTGCTGGTGGAGAGATGGTGCTGGGTGGTGTTGATCCTGAATATTTTACTGGAGATTTCGAAAACTTGCCTGTCCTCTCTGCAAATCGTTGGATTGTTAACATCAAAAGGTAATTAGTGCATACTTGAATGAAGTTATTTACAAAGAATTCAGCATCTTTCATATGCATATGAAGATCGCAGCAAACAATTTCATGCTTATCACATTCGTATCATCTTAGCGAAGTTCTTTAGCATATTGGTGATTCTTATGTGTCGTAGTAATAGAAGTCATATATTCTCGTATTCATTCACTGAACGAGATAAGATTTGAGAATTCCAAATGATTGAAAATAAATCGTTTACATTGATATTGCCATAGTATATTCGGAACAAGATTAACTTGGGCAAGCATTTTTTTGTAGTCAGTTGTCATCCAAACTTTGTGGCGACAAATACATGAATTGTAGAATTTGTCAGCCAGGAAAAGAAAATCAGAAGTGTGAGAAAATGTTTAGGAGTATAAAAACATAAAGGCGCAATTGGTGGGTGCCATATCTACTGATAAATTCAGTCGCAGGTTGATTAGAACTAATTAAAGAAATTTCAGTACCTCGGAATTACACACTTATTTCTGAACCGGACCTATACTGAAAAATTGCACTAAAGGTAAGTTACCACTGATGGTTACATCAGTACCTGTATACGAATTTAGCTGGTTCTGTGGAGTTAGTTGTTTAGGCCGTATTCATGTGAGAGTTTGGCTTGGAAAAGCAGTAATCAGGTGAATAACTAGTGTGAACTTATCACATTTAGTGGATAGTGAACATCACATAAAACAGATGAGGAATTTGCAGTCGTATACCGGGCACCATACAATCTGCGGTTACGTTTCCTGAAGATACAGAGATGAATGAGAACACACCTGACGTGTGTGCGCAAAAGTGTACATTTGTAAAGACAGAAGACAAGGGCCAGGAGACAGACAGTTTATTGAGAAAATCAAGAGATATTTATACTTTTTTATATACGTTATAATTCGTTATTTTAGCAGAAAAGCAAAGTGTTCTATTTGGCTTTACTTGCTGAAGGTTATTGTGTACTGCTTGTGACCATTGCTTACAAGGTTATCGATATTTCTGCGAATCGTATTTGCACACACTAAGTCTGCTTTGATTGGTTGTTAAGTTCCTCAAGGTTAGTCTTTTTTCTTGTTATTGTATTTTCTCATGACCGTGATTCGGGACGTAAACATTGACGTCAGTTATTGTCTACAATTTTGTCTTGCTGACAGCTGTCACCACACATTCACCTCATAATTTCATTTTGGATTTCTCTCTTCTTACTCCTCTTCGCCTAGTTTACTTCACGCCATTATTGTCGTCATTGTCTTTTATCCTGCGGATTTTCAATAGACTTCTGTTGTCTCTGTTAGTTGGGTTCAGTTCACTATATGTCCACTAAATTTTTTCATCATATGCTTCTGTTGTCATCCCTGGAACTCACATTCAGCAAACCCAATTTACTTATAGTTCTGTAGTATTGATATGTTTTCAGAGCAAAACAATTACAGGGGACAATTGCTTTTGATAGATTCTCCTTCAGACTCCACAACTATTTATACATTAATCTTTGGCTCAGAAAAGTCACTAAAGACAAGCTAGATTCATATCAGAAATTGTATTGTGCTACTGGTACCCAATTGAATAATAGTCAGTTGGTTTTGACTGTTGCTTAAATCCATATGAAATGTGTAGTCAATAAGCACGTGGGACTAAATCAGATTAAATAATTCAGTGGTGTGTGTTTGAGCATGTAAACTCGACAAAAAGTACAGATTTATTGGGCGAGTGTAGTTAGTGACGTTAGAGACAATATAATTACTGCTTATTAGGAAGAGTAGTTTTGTGATCAATACACCATTTGTTGTAGAGACTAGTTAATGTTCCAACTACGTTTTACCCTGTTTAGCTTGAAGGTGAATGGAGTGGAGTATTGCGATGCAGCATGCTCTGGTATTATAGATACTGGGACATCCTTGATAGTCGGATCTAATGCAGTGGTGGGTAAAATTAATTCCCAACTCGGTGCCGTATCTGCAACGGATGGGGAGTATAAAGTCGACTGCGGTAATCTCAATAACCTTCCTCCCATTGAGTTTATCTTCAAGGAGAGAAGATATGTATATCAAGCAAAAGATTACGTGGTTAAAGTAAGTATAGATTTTCAGTTGAATTTTCTGATATTCTGTGATGAGCAAAAGTTTATTCATTCTCCGTTGTGAATATTTCAACCATCATTTTATTTTATATCGTCAGTGAATAAAGTATGACCGAATTGATTGCCAGGTATCGCTGAGTCAGTCAAGGTCAGTCATCCGTCTTACAAAAACGCGTAAATCATACTTGTTGTTATGAAATAAATTTCAACACATTTTGAACTCCATGTGAACAGATAGACAGTGTCACTGTTATTCATTTATCGGAGTAAGTTTTTCTTTGATAGCGATATGTTCTTCTAATAAGCATTTTCATGGAACAATTTCAATCCAGTCGTGTCACAAAGTCGGCATTAGGTTGACTAAGTCCTTCGCCCCCGATTCCGAGAACGTTTCATAAATATATGCATCATAATACACTGTTCTACCTTTAACAAAAACAGGGATTATCTTTGTGGATCACTAGATTCAGCACTTCGGGATCTTCTGTTGCATTCGGATTCTCGAAGAGGAACGTACAGCTGATCAGCTAAATGACTCACAGTGACTCAAATATCAATAGGACAAATTTCAAGAATCCAGGCAGATTGATCAGGTACGATGACACTAAAATTGCGATAGTGGGTGAGATAAAATGACGAAGTAGTTGAATTAGAATTCTGATGCATTTATTATCTATAGTCATATCTAGACATTGAATTAAAGAAATCTGAAGAAGGTCTTTCCATTTTCACATTTCAGGATTCCAACTGGCTATCAACAGACTGTCTATCACCTTTCAGAGGCAGTGGTAAATTGTCCAAGGGATTCTGGATTCTTGGCGATGTATTCATGAGAAAATTCTACACTGTATTCGATTTCGGTGAGAGGGAGATAAGATTGGCTGATGTTGACGATGGATAAGGCTTTTGGTACCGAAACCAGTAAATCACTGAACATAAACATGTTTTACGAAATAAATTGAGAAGTTCTTGTTTAGCACATATCATTTGTTTCTTGAAGATCTTTCGAAAAATGGATAATTGATGAGGGTGTATACGTCCGTTTAGAATAGTATCATCTGTGGCATTTTAATAACTATATCGGGAAACGCTTTTAATATATTGAATTTCAGTCTACAAAATTATTTGAGGAACCTGCCTTTTTAAAATAAGCAACCAAAATGAGCATTTTAATGATCACATACTAACTAAACTAAAAATAAACTTTGATGAGAACATGGCAAGTTTAGTTTCACGAATTTTGCGATTTTCGAGGTGAACAATAGCATACGAAGGACATAAGTGTTCGTTATTTGGATCTCAAGTTGAAGTTTTCCATCTCAGAAAGTTGACATTTCTGTCTTGCTGATGAATATCTGATTAACTGTACTTGTCTACCGGTTAGTTAATGCTTCTGCATATTTCATCTGTTTCGTAATTCATACATTCACATTGATCCACCATGCGAATCACAAACTGTTCTGAGAATTTATATTTTCACAAGATTTCTACAACATAATCGTCTTGACAGTGTTGCTGGCGTTCTCCAGCGAACGTATTCGCACATAACTTTGCCTGAAGAAATCAGACAAACTGTGCAAAGACCTCAGACAATAATCATTCAATATTTTAGTTTGCCTGATACCACCTTGCTTTGATAGTTAATGACTGCATTATATCCACCGCCTATGGTGTATATATGAACTTTAGAATTCGATGTCCCACCAAGAGTAAAACTCGTCACCTTGACATTCTAGTTGAGCATATGTATCAGAATGACCCAATAAGCTATATTAGTCAAGACGAGCTCTCTCGAAGACGTTCATGTATCAGAAAGATAATCTGGGTAGTGAATTGACTAAAATCATTTACAATCATAGTGTGCGTTACTTTAATTGTGATCGTCATTTGGCATTTAAGAGATTGAGACATTCATATACAACGTAAGTGTTGAAATCCAAAAATACACCCAACCCGAAATGGTTGATCTACAAAATTTATCTTATTGGTATCAGGAGGTTGTTTCAGTAAGGGCAGCATCAGCCTCTGGATCAAAGTCTACGACAATGATGCAGTATCTTTAAACTCATCTCTGCTTACTCAAATAACTAGATGTTGTTTGGACAGAGTAAAGGACAAGGTTTTTCGGAATACGTCATGTTTGATGCTAGGATCATGTAAGATCAAAACTCATGCTTTTTAGCATACTGAAAAATATGCACATACGCAGGTGCGTTATTATCACTTCAATTCGTTCAGTTGTTGTCCTTAGCCTCACGTCGTAAGCGAGTGTAATTTGTGCTTAAATGGTTGGGAAGTTTCTATTCACTGAATGAATTTAGAATGGCATCTAATGAAAAGTTTTTGATTAAATTTCATAAGTTCCTAATTTGAAATGCATGAATTTCTAAATAAGAATTTAATACGGTGCTTTTATGGTGCTTCACCAATGGAATAAAGAGCTTGTCATAAAAAGAATGACCTTGTCACAAAAAGGATTAAGATCTGTGAGACGAAAAATAGTGGAGACGCATAATAACACAGAAAAATGTTTGGATCGACGCAGTAGATCACTGATAAGTAAGAGGAATATTCAGGTTCCGTAATGGTAGATTGAAAGAGAGGGAATTAAACAGTCTTTAACTATCATGCCACAAGAGTATGGAAATAATTTGGATAAAACATAGTACTGTATTGGGTAGGTTTATTTTATATAGCACACAGTTATATAGTGTTTGTCAATTGTCCGAGAAACAGAATCTTGAAGGGAATATAGAGGAAAAGGGAGGGGAACTGTAAGTGGTCTGATAATGGTGGAGGTGCAGTGTTATTAGATGAGGACGACTGCGTGAAAGAAATGTTATCGATTTTGAAAAGTCAAATTAAGTATCAGTTTAAATGTCAAAGCTGAGCAACGAATGAGTGATTGTCTTAGGAAGTTGCATTGGAGAGTAATGATGTCGACAACGATGTATGAATTGATGAATCCAACAGAGATCAACGCTTCACAACTTTAAGATCTACCCAAATTGTGCGCATCGCAAGATCCTACTCGTTTAGTTTTAGATATGTTTGAGTCAGCATATCACTGAAACTAAAACTGATTGTTCGAAATTCGTGGAGTTTTGCACGAAAAAATTATGAGATACAGATTTAATGCACTTTGTCTTCTCCTGCAGAATATCTGAGAAGGAATGTAACTAACAATACTTTAATATCCACTGATTCATCCTCCTTGCTCACAAATGTTGAGACAGTGGACTACATATGCCAACCAATTAGTCGAAGTCAATAGGACAAGTGATTACCCTCTCTCTATGAGCTCACAATCAGACCCGATTCTAGAGAATATTTACCTTATGAAATTGAAAGTGGTCTGTTGACGCACATTGTCACTATAAGGACGATACAGTTGTCTTAATTCATGCGAATATAAATAAGAATGAATTATTCATGAAATTCAATAATATCCGCCCTTGTCTGATTTTTACGCAAATACTGCATCAAGAGAACACTCTCTATATTCCGGAGGCCTTGACAAGTAGGAAAGAAAATGGGTCACTTGGAAGAAGCATGTATGAGGAAGACACATTCACAGAACAGTACACTTACTTCCTTAGTTATGTACCTATTAAATGCTATAGAAATATTGTGAAATGTCTTGAGAACACAGCAAGAAGCATTAGTAGGAAAGACTATTTGAAACACCATATTGAACATGAATAGTCAACTAGTTTTGTCTCGTAATCTGAAAGTCTAAGGTTCTGCCGGTGGTGTAGTCATGTGTGTGTACTGCCGAAGATTCCCAAGATCAGACTAAATAGCTATTCAGTGCTCTCTGAATTTCATTGATCATTTCATTGGTCTTTACCTAATCAAACAGCTGTACATAGTCCCTTGATAAATGTGATTTGGTGGGACAGTTTCAGAAAATGAACATATGAGCAAATTTGATAGAAACATAAAGACGTTGACGAAATGGAAGGAACTATTATATCAGAAATATAATATTTCCCATTGTGATATTAGGAACGCACTATTCGTCAAGGGGACTCTTCAACAAATTTATTATCACATTGTAAATTTGTTAACATATGACTTGTAAGAAACTACATTCTGTGAGGAAATTTAAACAAAAGGTGTGAATACTCATGTTAATAATGCGATATGCAATAGAATATTTGTGATTATAATCATATTTTGAGATTGATAGGTGTAAGAAGTTATATCACACCTAAAATAGTTCATAAAATGTGTAGATCTTGAGAAGGGAATTGAAATTAATAAGATTATTATGATTAGTAGCCAAACTGAAGCATTTTGTCACATGGTGAGAAGTTCAATAAGACGGATTTCAACATTGCAAAACGTGTATACATTTAATAAGAACAACTAGAGGAACAAGTGAAATAATATCGAAAAGTGTTCAAAGGCAAAGCACCGAAAATGAAAATCAGAAAGTTAAGGGGAATGTCCATAGATCAAATGAATTTGATGGAGAAAGTAGGAACTTTACCACCCCACCCCTCTTTGTTTTACGTGAAAGGTAGAAATACTTTCATCTTCATAATTTTCACATAAAGTCCTATTCATTTCTGTTTGTTATTTTACTCCTACTGATATGACTATATTTCCAACCTTACTGTCCCTTGCATGAAAACAGTTGCAGATTTGAAACCAAGCAGCCTGGGATACAAGTCACCGAAAAGCATTTGTTAACTCCGATGTTCCTTATTCAGAATATCAAAACAGAATTTTCAATTAAACAAATTAAACATATTCAGATATATCTCGAATGAACTATGTTTATTGCGATGAAAACTCAGTCACATACATATATATTGCATCCCAAATGCAACCATGATGTAAACAATACAGAATCACCACTATACATGAATTAAGTTCACACGTATCATGATTTTCACATATTACGATATAACACACCGACAACAGACTAAATCTAGATGATCACCAATCAGAAATTCCGTCCTGACGAGCATATCAATATAACAG